CGTTCCCCAACCAGCAAAAACCAAAACAGAAACAAAAAGAAAGGAAAGAAGCTTACCGAGGAAGTCACCGGATCTTTCAAACGTCACCAAAACCTTCGGAAACCGAAGGTACTTCTTTAGATTCGCTCCGATCAGGAGCCATTCAGGAGAAAAGAGCACCGGAACCGTCCTTAGGACAGTCCGATCTATCTAATGGTGTAAAAAAAATTTCGGCCACCGGATGCGGTGGCCGGCGGTGAGGGTCACGGCGGCAGACGGTTGCCGTCCGGTGACCGGCTTCCCTCCGATGAGGGAAGCTAGAGAGAAGGCAGAGAGAATTTTGTTCTCTCTGTTAGAGAGAGAACATAAATAAAAAAAATGAGAAGCTGGCCCGTAGGGCCAGCCGGTTAGGGTATTAATACCCTCTCCCAAACGACGTCGTTTCGGGGAGGGTATTTCTGTAATTTCATAAAGGGTAAACCCCGCCCGAAGCCATTCCAACTTGTAATTTTTTACATTTTAGTCACTAAATCAAGTTTATAATCCTTTTAATTCGGTTCTTTAACTTTAATTTTATTTATTTTAGTCCTTTATATTAAAATAATATATTTAGGGTAAATAACAGATTTAGTCCGTTAATTTTTAAGAATTAATATTTAATCCCGAGTTTATATTTTTAATTTATTTTAATCTGATATTCGAATTTTAGATAAGTTTTATTTTAGTCACTAAATTAATAAAATAAGAAAATAGCATGTTTAATCCCTATAATTTTGATTAATTATGAATTTGGTTTTTAATTTTAATTTTACTATAATTTAGTCACTAATTTTAAATGTTTTCATTTATTTTACTGCGTTTAAATATATCGTTCTAATTGTATTTCTATTTTAATTTTACTTGTTTATATATTTAAATATTTTTATTATGTAGTCATAAATATATATATAATAAATAAATATTTATTAAAAAAAATATTTTAACATTTATTTTTCAATATCGAAGAAAAGGGCAGTCTTAATACAACTGAATGTCCTACTCTGGTATTTTAAAATTAAATATTATAAAAAATTATTATCACCTAGAAGTCCTTTTCTGATATTTTTAAATAAATAAATATTTTTTTTTTAAATAATAAGATTATAAATTAAATATATTTTGAATTTTTTAAATTTTAATAATAGAGACAATTTATAATTAAAAAGTACCAATTTTGGGCATTGTAGGGGTGCTAATCCTTCCCTAAACATAACCGACCACGAATCCTTTTTTATTATTAAAAAAAACAAATTTTTGGTTATAAACGCAGATCAGTTCATTTTTTAATTGATGTTTTCTTAAAACTCTTTTAAAAAATAATTTTTAGGTATTCAACCTACCTAACTCAAAAGGCCGATGGCGACTCCCAAATTATTTTAAAAACCATTTATTCACATCATTTTTCCCGCCAATTAATATTTCGTGTCCGGACGAAAACCGGTTACGACACCTAGAAATAGAATTTTTGGTGACTTGTTCTAGATGTTTAAGTCATCTATTGAAGGGTTTCAATTTTGCAAACAAATGATTTAAGTCGATGAGACTTTTCTGTATGGGCTCTACAGACACGTCTTGATGATAGTCGTTACACAAGATGGAGACAGAAATATTTTCCCCATTGCCTTCTCCATTGTTAAAAATAAATCGGATCATGAAACTTGGAATTTCTTTTTCTCCAACTTGTGTTTCTATGTTGTCACTCAAGATGGGATTTGCATGATCTCAGATCAGTCGTCTGGGTTGTTAAACACAATTTCTAGACCGAAAAGTAAATGAACGCCTCCCCATGCATATTCAACATATTGTATACGCCATATTGTGTCTAATGCTATGAAGAGGTTTAAGCAGAAAAAGATCAAAAAAGAGATTATCAATATGGGTAACTATTATGTCATTTCTCATTAATTATTTATGTTTATTTATGTTCTTTTTTTTGTATTTTTTAATAACATTTATTTTATTACTTTTTAGGGTATGTTTTACTGCAACCAAACTTCCGTGCACGGCTAGAAAATTTGAGAATATATGGAGATGATGTGTATGAATTTGCTGCTAAAATCCCTAGGGAGAGATGGTCACAAGCATATGATGTTGAGGGACGATGTTACGGCTATATGACTACCAACCTTGCCGAATATATCAACTCAGTGGTGAAAGGGACTCGACATCTCCCGATAGCAAGTATTGTTAGGGAGACATACTTTAGGTTGGGCAAAGTATGGGCAGACAAAAGTGTGCAAATAGATGTCATGATCAGCGATGGTAGAAATTGGGCTCCAGATTTAGAAAAGGTAGTGCAAAAGAATCAAACACATGCGACATCAATGTTTGTCCATAATTTTACCAAACTTGATTTTGATTTCTTTGTCCAAGCACTAGTTTGGCCACATGAGTGAGGTAATTCTACAACGTACACTAGTAATCTGAATAGAAGATGGTGTGATTATGGTTGATTCAAGTTTTTAGATTCCCATGCGCTCACACTGTTGCTGCATATATGCATATTAATATTGACGTATACTTATATGTTGATGATTGTTATAGCTTGCACGCTATGCGTAACATTTACAGTTGTGACTTTAAGTACATCCCAAATGAAGCATACTGGCCTACATCAACAATTTTTGAAGAATGGTTGCCAAATCCTAAATTGCGTAGGAAGTTAAGAGGTCAACCTGAATCTAGCAGAATTCGTATCGATATAGATGATCCTCAAAGAGAGTCAGGTCTACCAAAACTTTGTAGCCACTACAGAGGTGAAGGGCATAACAGAAAGCATTGTCCTCATCTTCCTAAATATCGGGATGGACGCTAAAATAGCCCTTAAAAAATATTATGTTATCTTTTTACTTTTTCTCTTTTAACTATGTTTTTCACTATGTTTTTAGTTTGTACTCTAACTATGTTTTTTTAACTTGTACTCTTCCTATTATGTTTATGAGTTTTTTAGTTGAACATCATTACTTCAAACTTTCACTTCAATTCTTATATATTTGCAAACTATTACTAAATAAGTTTACTTAATCCAATAATTACTTAATTAATAAAGACAACTTCATACATAAATTAAAACAATACAAATCAATATTTGTACATATGTCATTTTTTATTTTTTTAGATCTCTCTTCAATTTGTTCACTATGTCAGATTAACACACCTTCGTATTTTTCTTTCGTCGTCTTCTTCTTCTCAATTTCTATACTAATTTTTTTTCTTGCCTCTCAACGAGTCGTTTGCTACGCCGCTTACGTAAATCTTCATACTTCTTCTTTTCCATTTTCATATTCTTCTTCTTATGCTCCCCAACTATGTACTTTATTGCCTCTTTTTCCCACTCTTCATCTGAAGAAGAGCTTGAATCCGAATTGTCGATCTCTGATTCGGTGTTGTCAAACCCATAAACAACATTCGCCAAATCATACCCAAAATTTTCTCACGACACATTATTTGATAATCTCAATTTTTCTCACTCTCATATATTAAAAGCTTCACCCTAAACCTCTATTTATACTAAAATCATTTCCCAAAATAGCCGTTGGAACTCGTCACACCGGTGTAACGAGTTCCATTGAATTTTAAAAAAAAATTGACCGTCGGCCAACAGTACCCCCAACGATCGAAATTTTCAAATTTTTTATCCTTTGGAACTCGTCACGCCGGCGAGCCGAGTTCTATGGCCATATATATATTACAATATTTTTTAAAATTCCAAAAAAAATTATAATGTATTAAATATATTCCGCCCCTGGGACCCATGTCCCACAGCCCATTAAAAAATTATTTTCAAGTTCCAACTACACTATAACTTTTGCAGTAGATCCCAAAATAAAAAATAACTTGCCCTATTGGGATAATTAACCGGTGCGCATGTATTATCCCCCCACTATTTGCCTCTGTTTTCTTATTTCATGCTCCAACTTCGAATACAAAAAATCAAAGGAATATTTTCATTTAAGTATTTCTTGTAGAGTGGTTGGATAGTAAGGTTGGGTCGACGTCTTGATCTAACTTACCCTCAGTTATATAGTAATTAATTACTTACATTTATAAAGTAATATATATGTATGTATGTATGTGAACAGCAGGAGTATTTACGAGCTCATCGTGTCCAAACCTAAAAAGTAAATAGTTTTGTAGGTTTTCTTCCTTGTATTTTCATTTGCATTTCCCTTTGTTCACATGAAGTCAAAAACAATTGTTTTAAACGTTGAAATACCACTCTTTAAAATGTTCCGGAACATTAAATTAGAACCTTTTTTACCATATAAAACTCAGCTATTTCAATCAATGAAACCGATAAGTGAAAAAAGTATGTTTAATGTCAATAAGTTTATAAATTCTAAGAAAACACTTACCAAAACATTACAAAAATAAGGGAGGAAAGGAGAGAGATCTACAAGCTACTTTAAGCAAATATGAACATGAACTAGCAGCTATTAATGTCACTTTAGTGGTTGAACCGACTAAACACTTGAGTTAATTCGATGGAAAACAATCAGACATACCGGAGTTACATTGCCGGAACAGTCCGACTCCGATCCGATGTCGAGTCATCTTAGACAGTTTTTTGTTATAGCATAGAATCAAGGTTCACTTCCAATATACATAGTAATTAACTTTTCTGTACAGCTTGAACCTGTAGGATAAAGTTATTGTTCGCGTTTGCAGAAGAAAGGCAAAAACGACAAGAGGGAGAACAGAAAGGAACATTTTTTTTCCATTGTTGAAATTAGCTAAAAGAAACAAAGATAATGTCTCCGAACATGCATGCATACAAGGATGTCTATGTATGTATGTAAGAAAAACATGAAACTCAATCTTATAGATATGTAATGATACATTAATTAATGTTTTTGATGTTTTAGAAAGGATTATTCACACACACACATAATTTAACACTCTATGTGTAGAAACAGATGCACTGAAAAATGAGAACCGCAAACCTGAGATTTCAAATCAACATATTCAAAAGATTAAGCTAGCTAGGAAAGCTCATGGAACAAAGGGTCTTCGAAGATGAGATGATCATCATGAGGCCAAACCGAAATATCAGCTTCTCCATTATAACTTGAAGAACAGCTAGCAACCCCCAAATTGTGTGTCAAATTCACTCCAACGGATGGAAAAGTAGTTACAGATGGGTTATTGAGCTTGTTGATATCGTTTTTCGTTGATGGTCGATGCCGAACGGGACTTGTAGGTCTGGTAAACGAGGGAAAGGGATAGTTGAATCACGGAGACCTTGAAGAGAAGCCGCTGCTGCTGCTATATCTAGCAGAGATGGATCCTTGATTGGAGAAGCTGGGTTTAAAAGATTAATGGCGTCCACGTTAGAATTGAAAGTATTGTGCATATTAATGCTATTGGAACTACATGAAATGGAAGCTGAGTTTAGTTGAAGAAGATATTGCAAACTTTGAAGCTTATCCATTTGAACAGCTTCAGCTTTAAGCTTTAAAGCCTGTTCCTCCCATGGGTGCTGATCCATAAGCTCTTTTAGGTTAGCCAAAGCTATGAGATAAGGCAAACTGGAGAGCATATCAGTTCGAGGCCTATGAGTCATGGGATCGATCCCCATTTGGATGAGTTTCTTCTTCAAATGAATGTTCCAAAAGTTCTTTAATGTAACATCTATAATTTATACTAATTTGTTTAATAAGATTTAATGATCTAATTGTAAATTATAACTCACAATAAATAAGCAAGTGAAATAAGTTCCGACAGAAATTATAAATGCTTGTCTGTTTTATAGTAATCCATGACGTAAAGCATCTCATTTGCAGTCTTTATTAATTTTTATTTGTTGGGTAAGAAAAGAAAATTAAAACAACTAGGATATACACTCATTTTACATAAAAAATTAAAATTTTAAATCTAATGTATTATAGGCTTAATTATAAAATAAGTGTCCAAACTATACCTCATGTCTCAAATAGGTGTCCAATTTATTTATTTTCTTGAATCATCCAGATGCCTAATGTTACAAACAATAGCACTTTAAGTTTCTCGGTTATAACAATCGTTAAATTCTTCCATTAAAGGACACTATCATGTTATGGTAATTTAAATTTTTATTTAAAATAAAAAATTAAAATTATATTTAAAAAATTCAAAAATTTCAAACCATAAACCAACACCGATGGATGCCCTTTGTTGTCCACGAAATTCCACTCGACAATCGATAACTCTATGAAATTACGATCAATCGACATGTGTACCTCGACGAACCCTACGTTGCAAATTGTGACCCTATGTGATCTCGATGGCTAATCAATAGCAAGAATGGCAGTGTATGGTTAGGAAGATGGTAAGGTCGGTGTCGACAATGGTGGTCGTGTCGAAAAGGATGATGTTGATGGTTTAGGGTTAGAGATTTAGGATTTTTAGATATTTAGGGTTTTTTGTAATTTAAGAAAAATTAGGGTTTTTTATAATTTAAGAAAAATTAGGGTTTTTTGTAATTTAAGAAAAATTAGGGTTTTTTTATAAATATAATAATATTTTAAATTTAAAAAAAATAAAAATTTTAAAATTACCAGAACATGAAACATGTAACTTAAGGAAAACGACAGTTATAGCTCGGACACCTAAAGTGGTAGGTTTGTAATATTAGACACCTGGATTATTCAAAAAAAAATTAGCACCTATTTGGGACAAGATGTATAGTTTGTACACTTATTTTATAATTAAACCTATATTATATGTAAATATATTCCAGTTTTAATGATTCAATTTTTAAATAAATACTATTTTGATATTTTTAAATAAATAAAACTATTTTTTAGTAGATTGAAGTGATTACATGGTAGTATCTGTTAAGAATTTTTTTAACTTATTAACAACATACACACACTTACAGACATAACCGCTCGAACTAAAGACCTCTAAAAATAATAATCTTTCCTTCTATAACTGATGTCACCTTAACTGGTTCTAAATAAATAAAACTAAAATACTATGACAAAGAATGCGAAATATAAAATAATTTAAAATATGATAAAAATAATTTAAATACATTATGTCCCAAAGCATTATATGCACATGACAAAAATATGAATGGTTAATTATAAAATAAATGCCCAAATTATATCACCTTTTTTTATATAGGTGCTCAAACTTTTCTTTGAATTATCCATGTGTCTAACGTTACAAACGTTACCACTTTAGATGTCTGAGACTTAATGGTCGTTAAATTCCACAGTTAAGTGACACGTGTCATGTTATGATACTTTTAAAAAAAATTATTTAAGATAAAAAATAAAGTTATATATTTTATAAATAAACCCCAAAAATTTTCAAAAAACTAAAAAATACATCAAAACTTTAAAACCTCTAAATTCAATCTCTAAACCAACATCGATCATCACTATTTGACGTCGATCGGACCACTACCATATGACAAGCCGAACCTGAACATTAACGTCGTATTTTCAATGAAGGAAACGGTAAAATCATGACCCAAAATCGCATCTCCAGTGATTAGAAACCTCCAAATTCGTGACACTTATACGATCCAACAATGCGTACGATGGCAAGGGAGACGACAACCGACTAGAGAGATGGTAAGAACGATGTTGGCGTCGATGGCCATGGCTTGCAAGAGAGGTTAGGGTTAGGGTTAGGGTTAGAGTTAGAGAATTGAGATTTCTAGGGATTTGTGACTTTTTTATAATATTAGAAAAATAGGGTTTTTTAATAAATTAATATTTTTTAAAAAAGTCAAAACTACCAGAGCTTGACACATTTCACTTAATGAAATCTTTTTAACAATAATTATCTCTCAGGCACCTAAAATGGTAACGTTTGTAACGTTAGGCACCTGGATGATTAAAAAAATTATGCACATATTTGAAAAAACCGGTATAGTTTAGGAACTTATTTTATAATTAAGCCAAATATGAAACGTACTAAAAACATACCTAGAAAGAATCGCAGAGTTTGTAAAAAAAACATAATGCAAAAATTAGCCCCAACGTTTATTAAAATGATAATTTTGCCCCTATTTTTTTGGAGTATTTTGGTCCCAATATTTCATTTTAGAGCAAAGAGGCCCCTAATATTTGATAGAATAATCACTTTGGCCTTTATTTTTTGGGATATTTTAGCCCTCAAAGTTTAATTTTAAGTTAAAAAAGACTCCTATTTTGGAGTGTTAATAGCGTATTAACTAATTGAAAAATGCTTCTCTCAAGTTCATCCTCCAAAGTTCCTTTCAACGAAGCGGTGGCCACCTCCACCATTGTTTTTGCTTGTTGTTTTCCTCCTTCCCTCGACTGCTTCTCTCAAGTTTTCAAAAGCTTTCATAGTGACGTTGAATCCTTTTTTTGTTCTCTGAACAAGGGTTTTGGTCGGCTCACTTTGGAGTGTTTTGGGAAATAGGGTTCTTAATGGCTTTCATCTCGAACTTTGCCTCGACTGTTTGGGTGTTTTCTTTTAGCTTGGTGAGATCGTTTCTATCTCTACACGTTGTAATTTTATTTATGTTTCTTCGATTACTATTTCATGCATGAGATTTGGTTTAAGTTGAAATTAGTTTCATAGTTTTTTAGATACTAAAAGGTTTATGGTAGAACGTGGGTCGTTATGGTGAGTTTCTGTAAGTGTTCTTTCCAAAGAAGAAGAGTTGAATAGGCTCTAGGTTGGATTCATTTTTATGTTTGTCCTGTATGTGTAGTTCTCATGGTTCTAGAGTCTTCAGATATGTGTGAGATTGGTGTGTGATTGTCAGGGGTTGTGAGGGTTTAGGTTTTGGTCTTGAGATGTTTGTTCGTGGGGTTTTTTTTGATGATGCCAAGCTGTTATTTGGGGGTTTTCTTCTTTTCTCCGTTTACTATTTTGTTGGTTGTGGTGGTTAAGTGGCCATGCGTTAGTGGGATGTGTCTGCCTTGTGCATTGGGGGTCTGTCGCATGTGAATGGGTGTTGTTGCTGCAGATGTTTTGTGTTAGCTTTGTCTAGTTTAGTTGGTGTCGTCTATAGTTTGGGAAGATGGGTGTTATGTGCTTGCTGCTCTTGTAGTTGGGTCTTGAAATGGGGAGGCAGAGCAGATGCTTAGGTTTCCATGGTTTGGGTGTTTGTGTTTTGATTGTTTTGCGTTTACAAGAGACGTATTGGGTCACCTGGGTTGGATTCAAAAGTTTTAGTTCTCTGGTTATTTGGTTTTATATTTTTGTTTGAGACTATTGGCAGCCAGATGTAGTTTGAGCTTCAACTGTGTTGGTGAGGAAGGTTCTCCGGTGGGGGGCGGAGCGTGGTGCGCAGTCGTTGGGGAAGCGGGTGAAGTTCCTTCGATTTTTTTGGTTATTTCGCATGCTTCGTTCTTCCAGAGGAGCGTCATTGTCAATGAAAGGGAGACTGTGAGTATGGGGCTAGTGATTGTGAGGTGGAAAGGAGGGCTGCGGTTGAGGGGGTTATGCATGATGTTTCTAGTTTTTATTTTGTTGGTCCATTGATCAATGAAAGTGGTGGGATTTTGGCACTTATTTTATTCTATTTGATGTTTTCTTTCTTTAGTGCGGGTGGTCTCGATTGAAGCTTCTGTTTTCAATCTTATTTTTGTGGATATTTTTATTATTATTTGGGTTAATGGGGTAGGCTCGTACAGTCTTTGATCTCTGGTGATATGTTTCGGTCCTTGGACGAGTTTGTTGGAAGCTAGTTTTCAGAAAGTGTAGTTCTCCATGACTCAGGGCTTCTCTTTGTTCAAGCTCTGGTGGGTGATGTTGTGTTTGAGGTGTTGGCTCGTTACTTTGGATATGCAGTCGGTGTTCGATCTTGTTTTAGTTCTAAGTTCATTTTAGTAGTTTGTTTGTGTTGACTGTCTTGGAAGGGATTTAGGGTTTGTAGTAGGGTTAGGTTTGGATTTGTGTGTTGTTCAGCTTTGTGGTTATTGAATCTTAACACCCCTACCACCTCAAGGCACACTCTTTTTCCCCATTTAGGATTAGGGGTTTTTTTTAATAAGGTCCTCGAGGTGATTTACTTTGTAAATGTTCGTAATACAAAGTACCATATTTCAAAAAAAAACTAATTGTTTTCATATATATATATATATATATATATAGAGAGAGAGAGAGAGAGAGAGCTTTTTTGCCCCAAAGTGAAATGTTAGGGGGATACTCCAAAATAAAGAATAAGAACCAAAACAATCATTTTGATAAACATTGAGAGGCTATTTTTGACATTATGCCTAAAAAAAATCTAAAGTTTGTAGAGCTTCCCTTATACGAAAGAATAATATGAATTCAATATGCATTTTTTATAAATTGAATTAGTATGATAAAATATGTAAAATATAAGATAAATTATTACTTAATATTATACTTTATAAATTGAATTAGTATAAAAATTACATTTTATTTGGTGCACAAATTATATAAAATTTATTTACACAATATTATATATTTTAATCAAAGATTCCTGAGATTAAAGAAGGTTTGGTTGTTCTTCTTGCATGCTCTTCATCGTTCTTGCTCTCTATAATTTATATCATTTGATGCATGTATTTTAGTTAGGATATGTATTTATGATCAAATAATAGATTCCTTCGAAAATATATTATCTTATAATTATCATAAATT